AAAAAAAAAAAAAAAAAAAAAAAAATTATTTTAAAAAAAAAAAATTTAATACACAAAAAAAAAAAAAAAAATATTATTTAAAATATAATACAAAAAAAAAAAGTAAAAAAAAAAAAAAAAGTAAGCCACTCAATGAAGGCCAAGGAAAAAAAAAAGGATGCGAAGTAAATTTAGAGGAAACTGAATTTTAAAAATTTAAAAAAAAAAAAAAAATGAAATTATTTCCTGTACAGAATTATTTTGCATCTTAAGAAATCATTTTGTACTTTTAATTTCATTTAAACTCGTCTATTTAAAAGAAGGTCTTTTTGTTCCTTTTACTTTTTAGTTTTAAAATTTTAATCTGTAAATTATCCACAAAAGATGATTAAAAAAAAAGAATGCTTACTAAATCCCGGTTAAAGTGACTTAACTTTGATCCTAGACATAAAACTAAAAAGTGGAAATTAACGACTGGTTACTTGCCGACCGTTGTTCCGAGTCAGATTTTCCCTAGCAAACGCCAAAATCCAAGGTCCAATGGTGATCGGAAACGAAAGTGATAGTTTTTTTTTTTAGTTTAATTTAAATTAAACCCCCCCCCTTTCCCCCTCCCCAACCTTTTCTTATTTCCTCATCACTAACCACCCCCAGCCCACTCCCTTGACCCGGGTAAGGAGAGCTCTCACTCAGAGAGTCAGTAACTCAGATGTGACCCATACAGGCCAGCACGAGGAGGACGGGGCCAAGTGTAACGGGAGGGTCACATTGGGATCAAAAAAAAAAAAAAAAAAAAAAAAAAAAAAAAAAGAAGAAAAAAAAAAAAAAAAAAAAAAAAAAAAAAAAAAAAAAAAAAAAAAAAAATTTTTAAAAAGCAAAAAAAAAAAAAAAAAAAAAAAAAGTAAAAAGTCGATGCTACAAACAAACACGATAGATTTATTAGGTGAAAGAAAGACTTTAAAAAATTTTTAAAAAGCTAAAAAGAAATTTATTACTGCCAGGAAGAGCTCATAGTTTCAGGCCAAAAGTAAAATTCAAAAAAAAAAAAAAAAAAAAAAAAAAAAAAAAAAAAACAAAAAAAAAAAAAAAAAAAAAAAAAAAAAAAAAAATTTAAAAAATTTTTAAAAAAAAAAAAAAAAATTTATTAATGCCAAGAAAAACTAAAAATTTAAAGACAAAAAAAAAAATAAAAAAAAAAAAAAAAAAAAAAAAAGTAAAAAATAACCCCTAATCCACGAAAGGTACGTTCATCCTATTAAAAGTCCTTGACTAAAAAAATTGTTTCATAAAAAAAAAACTTAAAAAAATTTTAAAAAAGCAAAAAAAAAATTAATTACTGCAAGAAAAAACACAAAATTTAAGGCAAAAAAAAAAATTAAAAAAAAAAAAAAAAAAAAAAAAGTAAAAAATAACCCCTAATCCACGAAAGGTACGTTCATCCTATTAAAAGTCCTTGACT